AGAGAGAGAGAGAGAGAGAGAGAGAGAGGGGGTAATTACGTAAGTTTATTCATCAGGTTGGGATCGTCTGAAGAAAACACTTGGTAGACATCTCGTTTCTTATTAGAAAATTTGCTTCTTCTTACGACTCACTTAAGAACAATTGCGACGGCACACCTTTAGAATTCAAACATATCTATGTATATCACTACACGTGCCGCTTTTAATGTCTACCACAAAATGTTATTCTTATCTAAAGGCAGCATTTGACGGAAGACCCCCGTTAAGGCTACTGATAGATATAACGTAGAATCGTTAGTAAAGCGGCGCTTCCTTTTGTCAAAGAGAGAGCCGGCTTAAAATAGTATCGCAGTAAGCTAGACTCCTCTACGGCTACATGAGGTACAGACGACCCATTTGTTCGCACTTACACGCTTTCATTTACTTTATGTACTTATCTAGTACCTCTATTAAGTGCATTCCTCGAAGCGAGGCACATTAAAGCCTAAATAAAAAGAATTATACATAGTTAGGAAATGTCGTATATAATAGAAGCAGGGCGGTGCGATCACACTCCACCGTTGATGCTAACTATAATATTAAGTAATAGCAAAGTATTTAGCATTTTGTAGATGTACATTTGCGTATTTCGTCAGCATTAGAAAGAAACGATATGTTGCATTTGCAGATAGGACGGTGTCCCGTGTTCGGATATTATGATTTTATTTAGCCTCGTATCTTCGATCGACAAATCCAACTGAGTGTGTCGAAACTTCCCGAGAAAGCATTATATTAGAAAAGGATGAAATAGAGCCCAAAAAACAAAACTGGTAGCTTGCTTTTGCCACTGCAACGAGCGCGAGGTCAATCTCGACCGTATGGCAGTCCATTAGAATTGAGTACATTGACTTTATTAGCTTCCATGATTAAAAAGTGCTGTCGTTTTCAGCACTTCCCAGCAAATTTTTGCCAAAGTGACTTGATGACTGCCGAATTATTGATATCACGCAATAAGTTATCTAATTAGATATGAATTACGAGTACGCGTTATCTTTCTCTTAAAGCAACACATCAAATTAGCACAGGAAATGTTGGCACAATTTTAAAAATTATCAGCGACCTTGATATTGTTAGAAGAAGCACTGCTTCAATGAATTCCGTAAGATTTACTACTTGATTAAGCAGTGCAAGCCCTTTGTGTATTCTCCGCCACGGGTTGAGCAGTAAGTACTAATTTAGTTAGTATCTGTAACAGCAGCACAAGGAAAAAGAGTACGACGCGAGAGGTTGCACCAGTATAGCTTTATTTGTGAAAGGTTAGGATACCCTGACATCAAGGTCAAAAAGGTATCCACGTTCAAACCTTTCCAGTATAGTCAAAATAGTTCTAAAGATTTCGACTGTGCGAAAGTTTATTTTTCATAAAATATTATATCAGCACGATGTAGCATATTTAGCATGCGTGGCTTTGGCAAGCATAAATTTAGTCTAGTTAAGAGTTTAAGGTAAATTTGACTATATTCAATAATAACCCAATATAAGTAGCATTGATCACTTGTCAAGAATATGTACCCCATAAGGGTTCTAGCTGATTAGACAATAACTTGCTCTTAGCAAGCAAAATGCTATACGTTTGCATGGGCTGCGACACGAACAGATAAACATTAGCAATAACCTATAGAGGAGTCATTATGAGGAAAGCGCCTGAACTGTTATCCATAGTGGTATATACAGTTTCAGTACCTATCTGCCGAGTTGGTCGATATAATTAATCAAGAAAGGAGCACTGTCTGCGAAATTTTCACGCTACGAACGCGCCCACTCCATGCACAGATTGCTTGGCACCAAATCAATGAAACAATGTGGCTCTTATAGACGTATGAATATTTAGATGGTCTTATCAAAATTGGACGCTTATTAACACGTGAGACTCACATAAAATTACCTGGACAAAGACAACTACGTTTTTATAGGTTGAACGAAAAATATAAGCGTTCAATAAATTTTACTGTAAATGTGGAACTAGCTACACCTCTGATCAAATCCGCCGTTGTTAATAAGCAGTTTATTAAGACCGGTAGGGAGACGCCCACCAGGAAAATAATAGAGTGATTCAATCAACACGTTTAACCCTGTGTAATTGAATTACCTGCCGGCCTCGCAGCTTATTTGTCTAAAATTACCTAGCCATATGATTCCTAACTAGATTTTCATGTAGCCTAATATATGCTGTGTTGCACGTTATGCCTAGATGTACTGCAATAATATTCTTATGTTTGTCGCACCTGAGGTTTATCTTTAGTATATAGTATTTATCTTACGCGGTTTAATTATCCGGCTACGAGCAAACAAATCTGATTTTTTGCTTAAATATGGGGTTTTCAATACGTAAGGATCCTAGAAATCTTGCTAACTTCTTAGACAGTAAAAATAACAGTTTTCCGGTGACTAATTTATCTATTCTAACAATAGAAGTGATTTTGGAAATAAACAACATACTTTCTTATGCTTATAGAGCGATAGAGTACCATTATTTTTGCACAATCGAATGCTTAACATAGCTTAATCATCTTTCCCGGGTACAGCAGTTTAACGGATTGTATTAATTTTAATACAAGTAATCTTAATATTCATTTTGGACTGAAAAATAACTAATCAGAGATACATACAAGCGGATCTGGCGAACCTTCAAGTGAAATAACTTCTCAACTACGCACCGTTATCAAACGAGATTCTATGAGTGCTCGTCCCTTATAAACTAAATGAAAACTGGTTGAGTTTGCTCCAGGAAAAACTTAATCATCGAGGACTGGCGAAGACATCGAGCAGACAGGCTTTAAGCGAGAACACAGCACGTGAATAGTGCAAACATTTCAAGAATGGAAAAATGTCGAACTCCGAAAGGTAAGAACGCATTGCCGCAACCAAAGAGTCTTTTTGCGAAAATAGAACTTGGAGGCTAAGGGCGTTGCCGACTAAAACTAACAAATCACATGAGTTACATAATTATAACCCAAGTACAAAAAATGGGAGAACTGAGTAAAAAACTGGTTTCCTGTGAACTGACTCCGGGCTAGTGGCAAATGCATGTGGTGTATTCCACGTGCACAATGCGAAAGTTCAGTGAACAAAACACCTGACTGGAGCATACGGCAGCTATAGATAAACCATACTCGAATTTCTATTGTCAGCCGGAAGAGGACGAGGTGAAAAGATGGCGTTGCCTCGGAGAGAAATCGAGTTCGGTGGGTAGGTTCGAATCTAGAGTGACGGTAGTACCTGCAATGAACATCAGGGGCGTCTGCTACTATGAGATATTCACCGAAAATGAAACAATGAATGCAGCCCGCTATTCTAAGTTTTTAGAGAGACCCATGAACCACTGGCATGGCAATCGAAAGCACGCAGTCTGCCTTTCTCCAGAAAAGTCCAGAGCTCAATTCGACCCTGAGTTGAGCAAACGAATATGCTACGTTAGCTTTTAGGTCTGTTATATTTATGCAAAGATTCATACTTTTATTAGTATTGTTTGACGTATATTCGAACACATATACATCGATATGGATTGCAAAGGTCATTTATAATGCGAAGGATTTGCCAATCAATGTTGTTCTAGTAATACTTCCTAATAGAGCCTTTCGAAACCCGCTAAATGACTTGCCTAGGCATGAGCCGGACAGGTATAAGGGAGATCTTCTAATACAATGCAAAACAATTGAACTGATAGACGGTACACTTAGGAACGTCCGAGGGCAAAATAAAAATAAATTGCCATTACCAATTAGGTATATAGGCATTCGCTTTTTTGGGTTGTTAATTAATATTAATAAATCTCAATCAAGTTGACGCGAGTAGAATCTGAACGTACATTAAGAATATTCGTAAGAATACATGGGAATTACACAGACTGCCAGCAGCTGTGCTGACGAAACCGCTCTATCCAAATTTTAGGAAGGTATTCAACTACTACGTACATCTGCTTATTGTGTTTAGTTAAGTTATTAATAGTTAAACTTAGGCGTCCACCACTCACAGTCCCTATTCGGTTCACATATATTCAAGAATCGAGCAAGTGCAATTTATATATAATGCATAATCTGATTAGTAGTACGCTGCAATATCGGAAAAAGCGACCTATTAGACAAAAATGTTATCGATTCAATTTCTGTCACCGCGCGTTTATATTGAAGTTCAAGTAATAAACGTGCTTATTTGGAAGAGACGAACTCAATTATTGGCTATACTTTTATTTGCATAGAAGAGTATTAACTTGTTGTAACGATACGGTAATTTCGAAAGCCAGATAATTTAAGCTAAATTATATTATATTATTGATCGGAACAGAAAAAAGTATGACATACACATCGATTTCCAATACGTGCAACTTTGAAAACCACATTCCGAAGCGAGCGAGGTATCCACGATAGTTGATTACTGTCTCGATTAGGCATGGTCAAAGAAGCTATTGAGCCTGGTGGATTTGAGCACCGAGTACTACTCAAACAGAGTGAGTGAGCGCTGCGTCCTCGTATCAACAGTCTAATGGCGTGAATCAGAATATTTTCGAAAATTGATTACAGCGCCAAATTTATTGTCGCGCAGACAGTCCCTATTTCTATTAGCTGATAAGCACAACGGTGGCACCATCACTAGTCGGCTACCTAGACGCACTGTATTTCTGGCTTTGTTGGTTTTTTCATTCCGTACGAAATATAGTTTGCGTGGAATGCCTCTAGTACTTTCAATTCGAACATAGATAGATTATTGAGTGTGTTCAATCACGCTCACAACCGAAGACGCGCGTATCGCATCGTTGGAAATTAGACAACAGCACCAGCGCATAGAACGTGACTTGTCGGAAGAAGCTCGGAGCATCTAGTAGAAATGTTTGCAGCAAATATTGATTTCTACTGATCGAAAAGTCAGATCTACATAGCTCTCTATAAATTTTTACGCCGCCTAACAGCCGTTATATGTTATGAACTTTAAGCGAAACGATATGAGCGTTACGGCATACTCTCACAAAGCCGACTCAATTCACATCGTGGAACATGCAGAGCGGCACTAGACTGACACCACGCTGCTTGATAACTGGAGCTTATTGACATTAAACGGCGCCTCGATTGTCCAGAAGTCCGCCAGGTCGAAATCGCTGGAATGAAACGCGCGTCTCTAGTTAAAAGAGTGGAAGCAAACGCGGAGTTAAGAAAAGAACAACAAAATGATATTTCATTAGCACGAACTTTAGCTTGGTCGCGCGCCGGCGGACCGTCGACAAGCTCTGGGCAACAGCATCCTGCCACTTGCCACCAACTGAAAAAGGGACGGATATATTTTAGCGGAGCCAGTTGATCAGGTCTCCTCCAATCAACTCGTCATAGACCACTGTACTAGCTATAGTAGCGGCAGTAGTTCGGTCGTCGATTGAACAAGATGTGCCTTCGAAAACGTCCGCCAAATCCATTGCGCTATTTCTCTTCTATTCCTATTGCTAAACCTTGTCTGTGCCTTCATAAACATTTAATACGGTTAGCCAACTGTACTTAGCCGAAGTTTATAGTAAGTTGCGTCACAATTGGCACAGCATGATGAATCACATTGCGATAAACATCATAACGAACCACTGACAACCACGAAAAGAGCAAGTATCTAAAGCGGGTTCTGACGCTAAGCGCGCTGTGCATTATAATAGTACTTCTTTTTACCACTTCTCGTTAGCTGCTTAATCAGTGTGGGGCAATGGCTCTCGTTGTTTTAAAAAATCTCTTATTTTCAGCCAGGCGGCAAAGTTAAGAACAGATTACTGCTCATCAAAATGTTAGTACCATAGCAGTATTAAAATGCGTATATATATGTATGTAAAAAGAGAGAGATAAAATAAATATGTAGCTATAGATATTCTAGTCAGTTATGATTGGCCATTTGCGGGCGATCTTCAATACGTCAATGTATAGATATATGTACATAAGGACTGTTGACTTGGCGCTCTTTTTCCGTCGAGCAAGTCCCGCTCGAACAGAGCAGAGGAATCCACTTGAGCAGTTCGTCAGCTGAGAGCTTTTTCGGCCAGTCTGAATAGAGCCGGCATGTATTCGGAAAACGTCAGTCGTATTACTGCTGTTACTACGCAATATCTCGCTTAATGTGGCTATGGAGCGGTTTCATGGCGGTAAATAGAAGGCGTTCGGTATTCGTCTGACTATTGCTAGCAAAGCTGTTGTTATATTTAGCAACAACAATCACGTAACTCCTATAAGTGGTATCAACATAAGCTTCGTGTACTGAGAAAGGGACTTCTGAGTATTAGAAGACGATTTGGCAGAAGTGCTGACTATTTCCTAATGCCCAATTTATAGGTGATTTGACATGTGAGGACCGGCTATGAGGCGTTGTTTCATATCTGCGAGAATTTTACACTCGGAAACTAACTGATGAAAAATGAATTTATCGTACGATCTTTAAGAAGATATAATGTTGATCAAGTCTAGTATAATACAGAACATGCTAAAATGGCAATGTAACGGAAAATATAACGTTAAACTGTGCTCTTATTGGCAGTTGAACAAAAATAATAATTTTTTCCGATATTTTATAGGTTACAACACATAAATACTTCTTGCTTTTACTTTCGGCAAGGGCAATGTTTTAAATTATGGCTGCATACGATGTTCAAAAGGCCAATGACGATATAAACCACAAAATTCAGTGATTTTTTGCCATCTGATTGATAACCCATTTGTTGAATTACAAAAAAACACAAAGAGAAACATGGAAAGATATTCGTATAATAACAAATACGATACAGAAGATGTCCAGGCAGAAGAAATTAAAAAGCCTTTTTGTTTAATTATTTGTGAGCCCCAATTTTCTATCACAGTATCTTACGACTATGCCGCCTTTATGTCTACAGCCCTCTCGAAATCTAATTATTGATAAAACTAGTGAAGGTATTCCAGTTGCACATCAGCACAAAGGAGCCAGTGCTTGCCATTTCAGTAAACCAATTTCTCATCAATGTTAGCCGTTCCTTTGCGTTGACTAGAGATTTATCAAAGATGGATTCTAATATCCACTCACTGCCTTGAAAATTTTGAAGCTTCTTGAGGAAGCAACTCATTTGGCTCAATCCTATTTTGAACGCGTACGCGTTGCCCTGACGGCTCTGTGTATGATTGTGTATTAAATGCTATACAAAACAGCTTGTCCCATGTCTATAAACAAAAGCATACGGTAACTATAAGCACGCAATTTCAGGTGCCTTCGATCGCCATTTCCTCATCACGCTGTACATACGTATGGTACCGAAATGGGTCTCGTTAGAGAGGGTCTCGTTTGTACTGGCCTCATTAGACATGATTATTCTATCTTTTGGCTTGCATATTCAGCAGATGAACGCAAGATTTTTCTCAAATGTTCATACGCAGATGAGAAAATGTATTATTAAAAGTAAGTGGGCGCGTTCGGTCAATAGTAACTATTTCGAATATATTTCGACCAATTTATGATTGTTCTTTTTGTACGAAAGAAAACGAATTTAAGAGAAATAGCAGACGAATGTATGTGAGTACTAACATCCAACGATGTATCCTCGAATTTTCGCTCAATTTACGACTAATACACTTTGATAACCCTGGAAATGTAGCTGATATTAAGTAGAGAAGGCTATAGAACACGAACTGAAAATGATAGAAGGGGCTTACCATAGTAAAGATCCATTGTTAATGGCAAGCTTTACCGAGCTAATTAATATAAGAAGACTATATTGTGTTAACGATCCAGCATTGAAAGAAGCATAATATATTAAATATTTCAGTCGTTTAACCCATGCACACCAATAAGCATAGACTAAAATCCATTCGCCATTTCCAGCGAACGTTATCATTGACATTCAAAATAGCATGCTAGACTCTACGATGGATGAGAACGCGTTCTTCGATCGGTTATCTTTTAGAATAGAATCATTTTTGAATGCGTGGCCGCTTATGAAGCAGATCAGATGGTAAATGGCAGTACTATAATGTGGTCACCTGTCACATGCTATCATTTACAACTCATAATAGCTTCGTGGTTGGTTGCGCCTTTTAATGACATTCATTTTAGAGTCAACGAATGGTTAGGCCCTTCTCATCATAAATCGGTTGCAGTCTACAGATGACATTCTCTAGAGTTGCATTTCTAACGGTCTGGCTACCCATTTGACCATGTAAATCCGAGTTCCTCTTGTGGGATCAATGTACTGTTGTTGCTATGACTAAATAACACGAAAGGTCACATTTTATAAAAATGTCTGCTTGAAATAGTCCAGTAAGTCTTGACCGGCATTGCCAAATCACCATAAACAATCACCTGTTCACTGGTTGAAACCTTAGCAAAATACAGGACTAGCAAACGTTTAGGTGTAGCATCGATTGAACAGGACGTGTATGTAGTACTAAAGTTGCCATGTTGGTTTCCCGTAGTAAATGATCGTACAATCTTTGGCTGAACAGATGAGGAACTTTTTCGACATCTATGCAAGATTTGGGGTATTTCCAACCGACAATAATTAGTCGATCGACAGCAAAAAGGTGACGAATCCCCTCTGGTCGAATCTAGCCGATACCGATTCGCTCAAGAGCTTTAAACTAACTAGGCTAGGATATGGGAGTTTGCCAGACGTTGCGCTCCGTTCTAATGTTAGTGCTGTGTTAAAATATCATCAGTATGGTTGAGCTTACCATCTTTTCTGCTTAGGGTCGTAATTGTCGTTTCGATGTTCCGTCGCACATTCGATGAAGATTCCGACTATCGGGTGTATTTGTCGAGCAGACGACACTGGTCCGCGACAGAGCACGGAGGCGCGAGAGTGGGGGAATAGGCACGCTACTATCGCACGCCGATGCCAAATCGTTCGTGGTGGTACTATCGGCGCCACTGCAGCTGTCTAGCGCGCCAAAACCGAAGTTTTCTCGTACCAGGTCCTTTACAAACACTTCAAACTTAACTGCTGAATGTCTCTTATGCGTTAACGGTGTTCGTCAATGCTTATATAATTGTCAGTTATAATGGTAACAAAATTCTATCTGTGGTATTCGTTATGGTGATGGTGATTGGTGGTATACAAAGGTGCTACTATATCCCACACTGGGGCCACAGTCAGTTGTACCTTTTGGCTTCATCATGTTGTACTATTTATGTGATTTCCTTTGCCGTTAACCGGTAACAAAAAGATCCGACATTAGAACTTGCAGGACCGGAAAATCAGTCGAACCACATCTACATGTTGACAGCATGCCTCAAAAATTAGATACAAGCGATAATGCAATATTTTGTATTTGTGAAATATTGTGTATTTGTATCAGGTGAAATAATGTCAACAAACGGTATTAGCTTTTATTTTAACGAATGTTATATCAGTATGGCCTGCTGCTATGCGCAACAAAATCGATAAATTGAATGGATTCACACAGTAACAAGCGTTATAGCCTCATGCGGAAAATTCACTTTTCACTTAATCTCCTTGACGACCAAAAAGCAACCAATTTTTACACAACTTCCTTACATTAGTTTCCAATTCAAAGTAATCCTTATCTAGCTTAATAAAATAAGTGAACTATTCATGAAGAATCCTTGTGAAAACTTGCGTAGCATCTTTTTTTCATAGACAAAATTTGATAAAATAAATCTGTCACGAGAAGTAAAAGCTTCTAGCGGCAGTTTTTACCAATAGACCAGTTCGCATACACCACGAACAGAGAGCTTTCTAGATAAACGCACATATGTAGGAATCACACAGGGTAAGGAATCTGACTATTGATAATAGAAAAAAAGAATGAAAGACAAAAAATTACCTTACCGAATATAGTTTATATAGTGCATAACATGGCTTATATTAGTATATTTGCCACAAAAGAGACAAAACCTAATTGTGTAGACGTAACAGCTGAGCTTCCGACGAATTCTCTATTAACAGCAGCCATCATCAGCGTGAATTCAGTAAGCATAGAAAACTCACAATTTTAAGAGAAAACCTGACAAAACTGCTTAATGCTCTCATGCAATTGAAAATATTAGTCAATTGCTCAAAACTACTATGTTTA